TTTTTCTTTTCTCTTCTCCTTTCCGTCTTGAAAGCGGTACAATGTCTAAAATAAAAAAAAATAGGAATACTTATACGTTTTTTAATGATTAAGTTAAAGTCAAATAAAATTATCATCTGTGTATTTTATTAAACGAGCGAAGATTCATGGTTTTTTATTTATTGAAAAATATCAAAAAAAGAAGAATGCGGATTTAAAGAGAATTATCTTACTGTTCGATTTAAAATATGAATAAAGATTTTTTTAGATACATTCTGTGAATGAATTAAAAGTGAATGATTTTTTTATATAATGAAAGAATGGGATTACTTAATACACACAAAAACTGAAAAATCGCCCAGCAATTGTTTCGCACTTTATACTTATGTTGAAACATAATAAAAAATAATTTATTGTATAAAGTTGATCGCTTTTCAATTTTAAGTTGTTTTATCATGTTTACCTCAATCCCATCAATTGCTTTTCAACTCATTTTCGTCATCTCGAGATACAATACCTAATTCCGAATCAAAAAAGAAACAAATTGAGTTAGAACAATGGACTAAATGTATATTGAATCCAATCTTTGTAATTTAAAATCTCTGTCTCTATTTAATTTGAATAAATAATCCAAAAATATTTGTGATATTTGATTGTTCTTTAAATCGATATTTAGACATTTTAAGATATTTGCGTTAAATCTGAATTTTTGCGAATAAAAAATTAGACGAACGTAATAAAGATTTCATAAATTTGTGGACCTTTCATTTTTTCAAGCTTTCTACGCTTTTGCTTTTCCTCTTCTTTGTTTGGAGACTTATTTTGTCAAAATTTCCAATTATATTTTCACATTACAGAAGAATAATTGACTTTAGATTTGCGATCTCATTCTTTTTGTGCATATTTAAGTGTAAAATTGAAAAAATAACGATGCAAATTAGAAATGAAAAGAAAATTTAGGTTTATTTAGTATTTATTACAAATTACGTACAATTCAATTTTGTTTTTAATTTTATTATCAATAATATTGAAAGTGATGGTAAGTTATTTAATTTATAAGCTGTACATGATATAATATTATAACGAGCGTCTCATTAAAAAAACCTAATTGATAATTTTTTTTATAAATCATTTTTTATAAATCACTTCATAAACCGCTAGAAATTAAACAAATTGAATTAGTATGAGATGAAAAAAATGTTCAGATTGGAATATTTATTTTTTTGAGCAGAGAAATATGTTTTTTTATATAATGCTACGTAAAAAGCTAAAAAACTGAAAAAGCTAATGGAAAAGCTTCTATTTGAGGAATCTAAATGTAGATATATATGAATTAGAAAATAAAGTGTATAAATTAGAAAACATTTTATATCGCTTCTCTTTATTTCTGCAGTTACACATATATGCAACAAGAATAATTATTAATTATTAATGAGATACAATATTTCGATACTTAATGATAACGATATATAATTATATATATGTGTAATATATATCTGCATTATGAAAATATTTACATTTATGCGATATATTTACGCGAGTGGCGAGTATTAAACTTAAAATTTAACAACACTTTGTTACTCTTTTATTAACTTGATGAATAACTTCTACAGATCGTAAATTGAGACTAGATGAATTGAATTAGAATAAACGGATAAAGAAAATTTTCGAATCCTAATCTTTATCTCGGACAAAAGATATCCTCTTGATACACGTCTGTTAATAAGATAGTTGTATTATAAAGGTAGAAATCAACTTGATTTAATAACTCCCTAAAGAGATATAGAGTGATATTCTAGTGTATATAATTTCTTCATAATCTTTAAAACTCTTTTTATGTGTGTTGCACATTTTATCCGTATATTTGTTAAACTATTCCCTTATAAATACCAATTCTATATACAGACTTTCAATCATTACAGATTTGTTTTATGACGCGACAAAATGTGACCACAAAAATTCAACGACAAGAAATTTTTTTCTCGTTATTCGAATTCATACTCGATTTGATACCTGGATATCTTGAAAATACATTCCATTTAACTGTCGCAGCTCTAAATATTTATATGATCTTGTTTAACATTTAATGAACAATAGAGATGAAATAATTCTAAGAGCGTTGCAAGTGTCAAGTGGAACATACCTTTAGCAATATCTTACATAATCCAATATCACTAATACATATTTACATGATAATATTTAATAATTTGTCGCATGTATATAAATTGATATCGTATGCATGACAAATCAGCTTATGTTTACCTTAACTAACGAAAACTGTTAATTGCTGTTAATCTATCTACATAATATCGTCGATTATTCTATCAGCATTAAGAGAATAATTCGCTTGTTTACACTGTTTATCACAGTCCTACTTTTCAAAATTTCCAAAAACTTGTAACATTAGGTAAACTGGACAAGTGTTAGATGCATCTCAAAATTTGTATTTTACATAAATATTTACATTTTCCGCATTATCCGTATACACATAGAGCCCCTAGGTAATAATAAGTCCCACGAGCTGTAATCACATAACATTCATTAATTCGTATGTACATACGTGTTATGTCACTAAAAAGGTAAAAAACAAACAAAAGAAAATTTAATTTTAAATAAGAGAAAAATTTCAAATGTAGTACACTATTTTTTTTAGTTTTTTGCATTTTCTAAAAAAAAAATTGAATTTTGTATATCGTTTATTTATTTATATTTTTATTTTTATTTATTTATTTATTTATATTTTTATTTTTATTTATTTATATAAAAACTAAATTGAACTTGTTAATTGTTACAAGCATTTACAATCTACATAAAAAATATATAAACATAATAACAGTGAAATGCATGAAAATAATCTTGCTAATTTCATGATTTTAGAAACATCAAGGATTTTATTACATATAAAAAATCAAAGATGACATTGTATCCAATCATATGTTCGTAAATTAAAAAAAAAAAATAAAAAAATAAGGGATTCTAATGAAAAATTGAAAATTGATATATTTAAAATTAGAATTTTTACATGAGAATGTAAAATAAATATTAAAATGATTACGTTATATAAGAAAAAAATTGTGATACTAACAGCATAATCCGGCGTATCTATTGCTATAGGACATGCCATAATTGCTGCACGCAGGTTGCCCAGATTTGTAAGGTTGAAAGCCGAGTACATTTCCACTGAAACGATAAAATGATTTTTTGACATAACATGATTTTAGCGTCGAATGACTTGTCAGACTTATTCAGACTTTTCGAAGAAAAAAATTTAAAAATTATACAAATATGCATATTCCTGTATTCTGAAAAAAAAAGGAGAAGTTCTTGCCTACGTAATTTTGTATGCTAATTCAAATCCAGATCGCAGAATTAGTCTGTCGTGTCAGATTATCGAGATAAATTCGTTTAAATAGGCTAAAACTAGCCATTTTGGTCATGTTCATCGATTCATTGCAAACAACGAAATTTTTGTTTGCCCATTTCGCAAACGGCATCTTAAAGTTTTCATCTACTTTTTATCTTTAAAATCAATTTTGGTTTTTACGATTATTTCTCGCAGTAATATCAAAGAAGTATGAAGTTAAAGAATCTATAACGCATTGTAGTATGGCGCTTTAGCTTAATACATCATCCTCTCAACTTTTGAGAGTAAATCCAAATTTTTACGAAAATTTATTGAAATTTAAGATAATAATCTACATTGAGAGGATGATGTAAAATACGCTATAAATGTGTCAAGTGTAAACACATCAGTTTTGAAATTTATCATCCATCGTTCGTTAAAAAAAAATAATTTTTTTTGCAAAGCGTTCAAACAATCTATTTTATTATTTTTGAAAGATTTCCCAAGCTTTCTCGGAGTAAGTAAACGAATATTTCCTTCACGGATATATGGATACTTTCGAAATGATAACCGCATAGGTTTTAAAAGGTGTCCGTTCACAGCTAAAATTGGCCATTTTAGACTCCTTTCTTTCAAGAGAGAATCGAATCCCCAACCCTCTCTCCTGGATACGCTTATGGTTGTTCTGCAATACATCATTTGACACAACTACTTGTATTTTCATACTTTAATGTGAAAGAAACGCAAAGTATAGAAAAAAAATAGCAATAATAGTATTACGAGATAGAGGTCTTACCTCGGGCCATAATTGCAGACATAATTCTTGGTATAACCGCGAGCCGGATCATAGTAGAATGAGTATCCGCATCCTATTAGAAAAGTATCGCTCCACACCAACTAAAATTAATTCAAAATATGTACTATATTTATTTATATATTCACCAATTGCTTGCGTGTGAACATGACAAATGGAAGCGATTTTGCTTTGAATATATTGATTCGGGAAGTAAAGATCCTGATGAAAGTCTTTTAAAATACTTTCAAATATTTATCA